TTAAAACCATTATTCTCCACCAGAGGAATCACTTTATTTCAGTTTAGTGCAGCATTCCAGTATTTGTTTCATACATGAAATTATATGAATTTTTTTTTAGCCACTGTACTTTCTGTGTGGAATGGAGAGTAGTGGAGGTAAACAGGGTGCTGAGACAAACCAATGGGACATTTTTGGTCCACATCAGTGTGGACAAACATAATCATGCTTTAAAACAAATGAAAATGAGACTATGTCATTTTAATTGCGGGTTAATACAAAACCTCCAAGTGAGGAAGAGTCTCTGAGTCTGGCGGTATGTGTTTTGTCAGACCTGTAGTGCCTGCCAGAGGTCAACAGTTCAAACAGGTGATGACCAGGATGAGTCTTTGATTTTGTTCTTAATATCCTTTGCAGTCAATGTGCAAACTATAGCAGTGGTTGATAGGAGCAGTAAATTAAAGAAATACAGTGATGGTATCTTAATGGCCCCTGCAGAGCTCTGATTGGCTCAGTCGTCAGTGCGAGCTATTTATATTTCTGAAAGAAAGTGGACATATGGATAGCTTTACAGAGACCAGGACCCTGGCCAAGATGTACTGAAGCATGTGGTGTCCCAACATCTCACACATTCTGTTGGTTTCTCCTTTCTGTTGGTCACTTGGGCATAAACCAATTAAAATCAATGTCAGCCTGAGGAGAGGAACTTGCAGGCCACCAGGGAACAACATACTTAAATTCAACACCCAGAAAGGGGAAAAAGGGTGAGACCTTCAGTGTGTTTGGACAGATCATGTATTAAGTATGTGGAACATGCAGTGCTCCTAAGAAAAGCTGCGTTTGGCTACATTTCAGTGGGTTTCTGCATTGTAATAACATCAATAGCTTAAGCAGACCTTGGACTTTTTTTTCCTTGCTTCAGAGGCGCAGGACTTCTGTAGGGACAGCGATATTAAGTTGAAAGGAAAATCCTTTCATTGACAAGCCAGCAAAACTCCAACAGGCCAAGTCTGCAGATTTAGATTTTTTTGCAGGGGAAGAAGAGGCTGTGAGTCAGCACTCTTGTTTTCCCATCAAGGTTCATTGGTATGGGCAGGAAAGTGAGATTTGAAGGCCAGAGTGCTCAGAAGCAGAGCCAGTCATTGAGTTATTGGTTGTGATAACACCTCATGCTGTGGGGGCAGCGCAGAGCAAACAAAGTCCCACATAATGAAGTGCAGATTCTTCAACATGGAAAGCCACTGAAAGAATGAAACATGAGTCTGTTGCTCTGATCCTTTGATCCATGATAACTGATAAATCTATGATCTCTGGTGTATGAGTTAACTGATTCCACATACAACCAACAATTATCATGATGATGCAGAGCTACAGTATTTGACAAGTCTCTAAACACACACAGCTCTGTAGAGCTCGATGCTGCAGAATGATGTCTGTTACTGAAGTCCTCTGGTGCCTCTTACATTCCTGCAGAAGTGAAGTCCCTACTGTCATAAAGAATCCTGTTCTGATTGTTTTATAGGGGCATTTCAACATGTGACATAAGATCGCCATCAAATCCACAGCCAGAAAATCTATATCATTTTTATCTTTTTAGTGCATAGAGACGTTGAGATACGTGAAGTGCCGTCAGGACAAGCAAGGTGAACAGTGAGCAGACCAGTTAAAACTAAAAAATTAGAACAATGTGGAAGTGGAATTGATCCCTCTCCTTACATCTGATCTCAGAAGAGTGTTCTGTCCAATAAAGGATCTGATATTATTGCCTGATGTTGATATTTGCATTCATCATGTACTGCATCATGTACTGTCCTGATAGTAGCAGGCTGTTGTCCCTGAAGCTAGCTTGACTACAAGTCCTTCTGTTTATCATTTCAATGTTTGCACATTGTGGATAATCTTGGGATCTTCGATGGGTGACTAGTTACAGCTAGCTACCAAGCATCAACCCCCGAGGCTGAAACACCGAAGCCAACACTGAAGTACCAAAAACTGCAGTTCCTCTAATGGCCACTAGAGTCTGGCTCCAACAGTGAGTCAGTCCCCATAGACTCCCATGTTAAAATGTCCAACTTTACAGCAGAAATAAACATGTTTAAAGCCTGGTACAAAAACAGTTTCGGTCATTTCCTCCTTCATGATGACTGTTTATGTAACTCACCCGTCTGAATTTTTTTAAGGCTTAAAATTATGAATGATTGAAGGCGTGGCCTCTTTGAGTAACAGGAGGGTGAGCATATACTTGCCACAAACCACCATGCACCGAAGTCCCAGCTCCACACACGCTCCTCCTCTTTTACCATTTTTGGATTAGCTGGGAGGAAGGGGCGGAGTCAGACACTGCCAAGATGGCGACAGTGGAGCAGCTTACTCTGCTGCAGCTTGACTGCTTGTCAAACTGCCCTTGACTCAGCTTCCACTGTTCTAAGATCAGTTTTGATATTGCAGCATAATTATACACGTGTGTGGAAACTGTACTTGCATATTCAATAATTATTTCAACAGTCTTTTCTTCCTAAGCATTAAGAGGCAGCAATTTACACTTATATTTATCATCTCAAATCGATAGACGTTGTCTTACTGATCATCTTAGTCAACATACCAGAAGTCAGGGTTTATTATTAGCAGTTTCAATAGCTCCTGCTAGGAAAAGCTTTCACAGGCATATTCATTCAATTTACATATTTACAGTTCACTATGTAACATAATACCCAAGCCTTTTAGGCCTGTTCTACTATTTAGTGAGAATGTAAATATCTTTTCCGTGCACAAGTTTGAGATGTTTGAGACAGAACTGGGGCGGCTGTGGCTCAGGATGTAGAGCAAGTAGTCCAGTAATCTTAAGGTCAAAGTGTCAAAGTGTCCTTGAGCCGAACCCCAAACTGCCCCTGATGGCTATTCCATCATTATATGGGTGTATGTGGCTTTGAGTGGTCCATAACTTATTGATTCTGCATTGTCACTGGAGTGTGTCATTGTAAGATTACCAAATGTCCAAAGATTCGGCTTTGGGAAAGAGTTGTGAAGATCTCTGATCAGAGACTCTCTATAAAGATGTTTCATTGGGACACTTAGCATGGCCGTCCCTGAGCTAATGAGTTGAAATTCATGACAGGTTACTTTGTGATATTCAGGAGATCAGGAGCAAAATGTTTCTCATGTATAGAGGAAAATGCTTTGGTTATATATTTTAAGACTGAGCTGTAAAATATCCTGTAATTTTGTAATGAAATGTTTGACCACTGCAAACCCATGGGGGGTGAGCACTTTGTGTGCAAGACACAAAAACAAAATGAAATACACATACACAACATAGAAGTCATTTTTTAGAGTTGAAAGGAATAATCCTGAAACGTCTTCAGCCAGAAAGGAGTGCAAAAAGGTGGCTGTGTCCTTGGCTCTGCTTGCTTATCACTGCACGCCACTGATTTACAGTACGTTACTGTATATGTTGATACCTGTTCAGCTATAATGACTCACACACACACATATAATCAAAGGCATCAGCCCAACACCTGACCTGAAGGGGTAAAGCAGGGATGAAGAGATGAGAGGTGAAGAGAGAGCCACTTGAGGTCGAGAGATACAGACAAAGACCAGAGCGAGAGAGACTGAAGCAGGTTACTGCTGCAGGTATCAGAGAAAAAGAAGCAGATCTCACAGCAGATCCAATAGATGTTTACTCCCTCAGGCACGACACAAACTCTGGCTTTGTGCTCCTCTCTCCTCTCTCCCAGCCACAAGATCCTTCTTTTATTTCTCAATCTGGATCTGACTCCTGGTCTTTTTTTTTTTTGTTTCCTCTTTTCTTCATCTTATATAAAACTGTCACTATCATCCACTGGCTTGTTCTCTTTTCCCTCCATCCATGTACCAGCAATAAGCACTCTCTCTACATAAATGGAAGGAAACTAGATATTTTCTAATGAGCACTGCCTCATTGCATTGATTCATTTCTTTCCACTGAGGAAGTACAATGCTATCAAACTACTGAGGGTAGCAGTGGTTATATAAGGCGGATGATAAATTGGGATGTAACAGAGCAATCACACATTCAACAAGTCTTCCAAACTAAATGACTAAATACGTATGAAGTCAAATGAGAGCTTTTCAAGGCCTGATAAGGCTGTTAACATTCCATTATGCTATTGTCATCAAATCCCACAATGCATTACTCTACTTCTCAATACTGTCTAACACAGCCCTTAGCCCATGGGTTACCACTGAGGACAGACATCTTTAAAAATACAAATATATTATTGACTCAGTAATTTCCTTAAACACCTGGTTACTTCAGCCAACATTAGTTAACAAGGAGGAAGTAGTGTATTTGCTGGAGACTATTTTCAACAGCTGATTTATCCACATTTGGTATTTTGGGGAGGTGGATGGTGTACTTGTTAGTAGGACATCCTTATCCTTTTAAGGACAGGAACAGATCTTGCTGCAAGAGGCCGCTTGTTGGTGCATGTTGGAAGCCCATAAATACTATGGGGAAAACATTTTCAAGGATAAATGTCTTTAGATTCTGAGAATTAAGTCACAATTTTAACGTCACATCTTAACATTTTCTCATAAAATTGCAACTTAATTCTCTTTTCTTTTTACTCATAAATAAGCGTCATGGCAACAATAATTAATAAATATATATGCAGAGTATGAATAATGAAGTAAATCTAAATACATTTAGAACATTATACAGCATCATACACTGCAGTCATTACTACATTTTATCTTTAGTTCTATTAAAACTTGGGACCTTAAACACTGGCTCTATATCCACACTGAAAGTCACTACCATGTCTTTAAAGACTGGAGGTATAACCTCACATAATAAACATACATAGAGGAAAACCTGGGCTGTATAATCATTTTAAAAAGAAGGGTAAATGAGGACTGAAGTTTTTGTATCTTTGAAATATTGAAATATATTATGTTGAAGCTCTGGAATCCTGAGCTCTGTTATGTAACAGTCACTTAGTGGATGATAATGAGGCAAATGTGTGTGTGTCCCTCTGCAGCTCCAGTCAGACCAGGACCATGGCAATGGCTTAGTGAAGTATGTTCTGTCTGGCGAGGGGGCTGGTTCCATCTTTGTCATCGACGAGAATAACGGCGACCTGCACGCCACCCGCCGCTTGGATCGTGAAGAAAAGGCTTTTTATATCCTCAAAGCCACGGTGGTCAACAAACGGACGGGTCAAAAGCTGGAACCAGAGACGGAGTTCACCGTCAAACTCCACGACATCAACGATAATGAGCCTCAGTTCAGCAAAGAGGTTTACACTGGGAGCGTACCTGAGAGGTCTGACATCGGTAAGGGCTCTCACTGGACTTTTTCATGGTGGGACACATGGGGACACTCATGGGACACATGAGTAGGACACTTTAACTTTGTGTTCTTCTCTCTGGGAAATAATGTGTCATTTTCTAAATGGTTGAACCATCAGAGGATTATATTTGTCAATAATAATCATGTGAATGTGTGTCTCTCAGGTACATCAGTCATCCAGGTGACAGCTACAGATGCTGATGACAGTATGTATGGGAGCAGTGCCAAACTGGTGTACAGCATCAGCCAGGGACACCCATACTTCTCTGTGGACCCGAACACAGGTATTTCTGACAATATCATCCTTTACGTTGCAACCCTGGTGTTGTAGGTAATGTTTATATGCTATATGTGGTTTATATTTAAATACCAAAACGTCGCCAATTCAATCCCTGGACTGGCAGGATTAAATCTGGGTGGGAAAAGTGAAAGAGCAGCTCATCAGCACCACTGTGCTGCCCTTGAGGAAGATCCTTAACCCCAACTGCTCCAGAGGAGCTGCTCAGTGGCCAGCAGCTCAGACTGGGTTGTACTGGGTAGCTTCCAGGTGTGCATGTGGGTAACTGTCATTCCGATCACGGCGTTCCTGTAAAAGAGAAGTTCCGCCCCCGAATACATGAAGAATAAAAAACGAAAAAAGCTAAAATGTCTTGTAAATGTAATAACATTTGAATTCTTTATAATATCCAAGGGACAAACCCTCAGCACTTTTTTACTGTATCATAAATCATGAATCAGTAAAATATAATTTTAAAAAAGTAAAATAATGTAAAATATTCTATGGTAAAATATTTTTAAAAGCATATTTACTTAAATATAAATAAAATAAATATACCTATAACCTTACCTGTAACACTGAGGTTTCAAGGTTCGCTGAACAACAAGTACGTGTTGCCTGCAGCTCTTTGTCTTATACATTCACATGCTTCTTTTCTTTCATTCCTCCCCTGAAACATTTGAATTATCAACCAACAAATAAGCACAGAAAATTGTCTCTATGTAGATGCAGATGGTGTCAAGTTTCTGTACTGGTTCTAAAATGATTCTTTTTTTCTTATACCGAGCTTAATTATGTTAATTATGTTTTTCTACCTGTATCAATTAAACTATTGATACTAATTTGCAGTTGGATGCTTGCCTCGAGTCAATACTTCCTTTAGCTGAATCAAAGTAAAAACGTAAAAAATGTGTTCCCAGTGAAACGTTTTAATGTGAAGTAGCAGCAGGAATTTGCATTAAAGCAGACTGACATTTTGGGTAATATCCTTGTTCATTTAAGCTAGTCTTTGGGCTAAGCTAAGCTGAACATGCCACAAACCTGTCTGTGTGCTGGTTACACAGAGCTGAAAGAGATATCAGCCTTTCCTGACTGAGTACTGCAGCAAATGAACATATCCCAGAGGACGGTCAGGCTTCAACAGTGTAGAACCAAAGCAGATTTTTCTTTGCTGCTAGCATGACAACGCATAAAAAACATCAACGAAAGAGTCAATTAAAACTCCAACCACAACATACATTAAGCATGAGCTACAGGAACTACAGAGCTAAAATAAAAGGTGAACAGCTAACACTCAAATACTGCATCTCATTTACAGTTGGATTGCTGACTTATAAATTCACTACTACTGCCACTTTTGGATCTCACTCCTTCATATTCATTTGATCAGATTTGATATAGCAGATGTTCCGTGGAGGATATTTTCCACCAGTGTCTGTACCAACACCAGAATTAAATTTGGGTAAAGTGTGAATCAGAGAGCAGAAATAGGATGCTCTTGTAGCCCCATATCTCATTTTACACCAACACATCTGTTTTCTGGAGAAAATAAAAAATAGTGATGTAAAGTAAATACAGTACACACATTGTGCACCTTCACCCTGCACATTTATGTCTGTGCTACATAGAAAAAAGAGAGAGGAAAGAGAGGTTTTAATGCCTGCTATCATAAAATACAGCTCAGCTCAGCCCTTCACTGATCTTATGCACTTTCTCTGTAAATAAAAAAGTCAGCCATCCATTTAGATAATCAGCACACTAATCTCCCTGTCTCTGCTCATCTGTTTGTTTCAAACAAATAGAGGAGTCAGGGCCATGGTCATATTACTGCTGGCTGTGGATTAAGCAGCAACAATAGACCGTGTTCTCTGGTGCAAAAAGTGTAAAGACAAACAAAAATATTAAAGTAAACAGCAAATTTGGGGCTCAACTAATAGCATTTAAAGGAACAGTTGGAGAAATATACACTATATATATATATATATATATATATATGTTTCTGCTTTCTTTGTAATAGCAAGATGAGAAGACTGGCACGAATCTCATGTTTATGCATGCAAGTTGTGTGTTATAGTTGTTATTATTTGTAGGTTTTACTATTGCTACATAGCCAAGGTTATAGCATTAACAGCTGTTTACTTACCAGTCTGGAAGAAATGTTGCAAGTTCAGCAAATGTTCATAGGTGGAACGCAACACCCTTGTTTTGCTTCTATTTCTTCTACTGAAGTTAGCATGCTAACCAGCTTGCTCCTGTCCGGCCAGACCATCTTGTCACTTTCCAACAGCGGGTCACTGTAGTGTCCAGTCTACCCTGAAGAAGTTGCTGCTCAGAGGATGCATTATAACCTCTTGTGTTGTAAATGCAATGATAGCTGCTAGCTCTTGACAAGACAGCTAGGTAAACAGCTGTTAATGCTAATATTGGCTATGTAGCAATAGCAAAACTTACAAATAGCTCCTTTTAGATTTCAGTCCTGGTTTGTTGGGCAACATCCATGGTTACCCTGGTAGCAGCAATTGTGATTTAATACTACAGCATGCACTTGTTGAGCAGCTACTTTGTCAGTAATCCAACAGAAGAACAAGTGGTGAATCTGTTTACAGCGCAGCCATACAAAATCATATTCTTTTAATGCAGCAGGCAGTCAATAATAATAACCTTAATCTGATTTAATGCTGTTCACAGTGTGACCACAGGACACAGTCACATTGGTAACCTTGGAGGTGTGCAGCCTGTGGCCTGCAGCTCTTCATCTCTCAGCTCACTATGGCTGCTCCTGACTCTGACTCCTCTCCCTGACGTATTTAAAACTAATTCACTGACAAAACAAAAATGCAGAAAATAAATGCTGCCGTGTTGTGCAGCTATTTTTGACTAACATGAACATTTACTGCAGTGACAAATACATTCCTTTTCCTGTAGCTTCTTCACAATAAAAGCCAGCTAAACACTTTGAATTATAACAGCATTTAAACATTCATTGCTTGCTGAACTCCAGGTCAGTCTTGGGAGGGGGCAATTTCTTCCAATGTAGCTGAACTTTTCATCAGGGAAACCACACAAATTGTCATAAGTCACCCAAAACTATTTTTACTCACCTAAACATATAAAAAAACTAACCCAACCTGGCAAAAGCCTGCTGCGTAGCACATCATTTCATTTTGATAAAATGGCAAATTATTGTTTCTATGGGTTAACCAAATGACATCCAGTGTGTTAATCAGTGCGCTTTAGAGTTATTTGTAGTTTTATTTTTGTTTCCAGTCTTTATGCTAAACTAGGCTAAACATATCCTAACTCTGCCTCTGTACGTAATCCAGACAATGATATTCATCTTTGCAATGTTGTTTTCCTTAATTCAAGTCAAACGATTTGTTTAAGAGCAAATTCACTTCTGCTGTCCCTCAACTTTGACTAGTTATTTGTAAATCCAGACAAAGGTTTATAAGATGTATGGTTTTTGAAGCAGATGATTTGAAATACCATTGCAGATGTGCCTGGTTTAATATACAGAAGATGTGTAACAAGTTATGTATTGATTGGGAAGAAATATCAGTACAACAGGTGGCAGGTTCTTCTCTCAACCAACCATGAAAGAAACAAGAGCAAAATACACCTGTTTTACTATAGAAAGTCAGCCTAATGTCACCTGAAGAAATACTTTTTAATTGGAAACAGCGAGATCTGTGACTCCTCTAGAGCCTATGAAGTTTAGCATTATGTAGGATTCTGGTAGAAGGGGGCTGAGGATGAAGCAAATGAAGAGCAATAACAATAGCTTGTTTGTTCTTCTCGTTCAGGTGTGATCCGGACAGCCTTGGGTCCTGGTGACATGGACCGCGAGCAGAGGGAGCACTACCAGGTGGTGATCGAGGCCAAAGACATGGGCGGACAGAGAGGAGGGCTCACTGGGACCACAGTGGTGAACATCACTCTCACTGATGTCAATGATAATCCTCCCCGCTTCACTCAGAGTAAGTCAACAGCACTGAAGGAAGATAGACTGCATGCAAATGATGGAACATCGAGTCTCACTTTAATTAGCGATGCCTGCTCATGATTGACTGGCTTCAGGTTTTGGCATTTGCATTTTCGAAGTCAGCCACCTTCAGGTAACACACACACACACATTAATTATGGGCTTCAGATGCAGAAAAAGTCAGGATAACTGTTCTGTTTTTCCATACCTTGTTAAATCTGAACAGTTCAGTTTCAGTTGTAATCATGTCTGATAAAGTTTCTGCCTGAGATTGTCTCAGTTAATGTTTAATGTCCACTGTTAACGTTAAATTGAACAACATTTACAGACAGAATGTGGAAACACATGTCACAGAATGAAATGTCACAGTTTATATCCACAAATCAAATCTCTCCCCAAGATTCAATAAGTTGTTGCATTCAAATGGAAGCACAGGCTTCATTATATTGAAAATGAGCACTAGAGGCAATGTCACAAAAACACAATAGGCCACCTCTGAAAACATTTGATATCTTCACATTTAACATGGAAAATAAGATTTATATGGATTTTACAAGAGCAGCACAGTTTGTAGACAGTGATGGAAATCTTAGTGAATGAATGAGGAGCAGCAGCTGGTGTAAACACATACAGTACAAGTGTTATTTACATGCTACTTATGTAAGCGGAGCAAACATTGCTAGGATATTGGTGCTTAAGGGAGGTTCTCTTTGTTGATTTTATTGATTCAGATGCATCTGGTGACTCTGCCTCTGGCTGCCAGTGATACTGGCTCTCACTCACCAAAATCCCCCCCCGTCTCACCCTGAGCCATAGCTAGCAGGTTAGCAGTTTAGCAGACTCTTCAAGTCAGTGGCTGTGTCCGAAACCATTCCTCACTCACTATATTCTGCTATATCGTGGGTTTGCCATTTTGTAGTGCTGTCCAGATGTATAATGAGAATTATTATTCTCTATATAGTGGACTCATAGTATCCCACAATGCATCATGACAAGAACTGTACAACCACTGGTCACTAACCAAACAATATATAGCATTATTATTGTGCTCAAGCTGAAAGACAGAAAAACGGTGTGAAGACAATAACCAGAGTAGTGTCCGAAAGTGTTTTTCCATTTTACCAATGAGCTCACTATATAGTCCTCTACATGGGACACCCTGGATAGTGAGTAGGGAGGAGTAAATGAGTGAGTGCTTTCAAACACAACTGTGTCTGAATCTTCTAAGTCGCTATCATTGTTGTTCTCACTGAGGTAACTGCTGTACTGTGCATGGTGTGGTACAGAGTATCAGTGGCTACTGCCTCCAAGTTAAAATACAAGCACTTGGTGTCTTTGGTGACCTGGTGACTTTAGGGTTAAGTTAGAAGTTCTCTGTGTCTACATTAACTACACAGTTTGAAATAGTGAGTCAAAGGTAAGACAGAGGCTGATGCATGTCATTCAGAACTCTTCATTTACCTGGATTCAGACAAGAGAAAGGAGAGACGACAAACAGTGGGACAGTGGAATGTTCAAACATGGTTGAAGTTCGTCATTCAAGCCAAGACAGTTGTGATTAGGAGGACAGACCAGTGGTCGAGGGATTAAAAGCAGGGCCAGAACCAAAGCCCAAGAAAGAGAGAGGAGGGAGAAATACGTTCCAAGATCAAGATGATTAAAGACTTAAGAAAAATTAACTTGTGGTCGACGGGATAGAAGGTGCACTGGGTGGGAATAGCTTTTGAGATGATGATGGTGGTTTGAGTTAGGCATTAAAGATGAATGGTTGGAGTGAGGATACGCTGCTGGTCAAGCGAAGAGGATCCAGAGATTCTCCAGCAGTGAGAAGGTCAAAGAGTTAGGATTAGTCAGTTTTAAAGGGTACAGAGGTTTTCAGGAAATCGACCAGACAGTTTCCTGATGTGTAGTTCCTGGTTAGGAAGATTGAAATAATGACCTGCTCACAGTGACTGCTCACAGCGTTGTTACGGATCAGTAAATCACTGAGCTTAGCTCACACGTCAGAGGCCAGAAATTGCTGAGAAATAACACATAGCATTCGACTTAATGAAGTTTCTAACTAACTCTCTAACTCCTGTCCATCACAGTGGGAGCACCATTCACTCCCAGCATGTTAGTCCATTCAAAGTCCAGCCCTTTCTGCAGTGAAATGAAACACCTCTTCTCTGGGAAATGATTTCACCAGCAGTGTGTTTCCTACCAGGGGAATTAGTCCAAGTAACATTAATTCTCCCTGAAAGCCTTCCTAATTAATTAAACTTAATTAATCCTTAATCATAGGAACATTCTCACTGTAAACATGTGGGCTTTGTACCGAGGAGCCCAAACTCTCTTAAGACCCTGCCGTAGTCTGTTAGTTAGAGACAGAGACTGTCTATTAATAACATGCTCTCAAATTAAATTCTGGACTGCCACAGTTTAGTACTGCAGGTCACAGGTAGTTTCAGTATTGTGTAATCTGTAAATTATGGTTTAGAATAATCAGTCATTCAGTCTATAAGATGTCAGGAAACAGTCCAAAATTCCTGTCACAAGTTCAGGGTTTTTCCTGCACAGAGAATTGGGAGGCAGCCGCCTCCCTCAAATTTCGTGCCGCCTCCGACTCATGACAAAATTCTAGTAGGCCTACTTGTTTTCTCGGTACTCAGATTTGACGCCTGTATCTGCAATTGCGGCTGTATGTCACTACGGTAATGTATCATAATCCGTGCATCAGGCAGAGCCATCCGAAATTACCAAAGAAGAAGAACACGAATGTGCTACATTTTCTGCTTGCGGAAGGAAGCGGCGACCTGATTTGAGTTCAGACATCATTAGTTCTTCTAATATGGAAAAAAAAAGTTAATTCATGTTACTGACGAGATACGGTTAATTTGTCAGGACTGAAAGTAGTCCTAGTCCTCAGCCACAAGTGGAAGGTGCCGGTGGAAGGTGACACCCCGCCACCCCCCAAGCCACCAAGATCTAAAAACACAAGTTCAGCATCAGAGTGGAATGATTTTGTTCTTCTTCTGTCACTGTAGTTTTGTAAAAACTAAAAATTGAACTAACTGTCACTAGTTTTTACTCCATTCTGTTTTGGATACTGTTTATGTGCATGTCCTTTGTTTGATATTATAAGGTTTGTTGGACGCGATCTTGGACGGTGTGGCCCAACACGTCGTAGCGGCCTCGGAGGGCTGAACTGAAATGAGATGGTCCGGTCTGGTCCGCCCTTACCATTGCATTGCAAAGCACATCTCCTATTGCCTAGCAACCTTGACAACATGTAACTTTTTTTATTACAAAACTTGAGGTTTTAAGGCCCTTGGTTTTAACAGTTGTACTGAAACCCAATACTTTCATTTAACAGTGTAATCCTCAGGCTCAGTGTTGTTTGCTGCCATCTTATTTTCATTACTGACATGCAATGCATCTTGGGATAGGTTGGGCCATGAAGGATCCACCTGCCCAGGAAAAGAAGACACATTTCTTGGCTTCCTTTGAAGGAGCCTTTGAAATTGGACAGCCTATTTGCTCAGTCTCTTCTGTGACACAATCAAATCTTTCTTTTTAAGTTATTTTTTCAGGCTGTCTTGGTAATGAGTGTCCATGAATTTGGGGGAGGAGCTTCTGAGGGAGCACTGAGGGGAGTTCTAATATTGACTTTCTGTAGTGTCACTTAGTCTACCTTTAAGTGGTGAAGGTGCATTAAAAAAGAATGGTCAAAGTCAAGGTAGCAGAGGGCAGGGCATCATGAGCTTCCCTGGTAATGCTCAAGCCCCAAAAACACTGCATGCTACAATTCCATAAACGCAACTTCATATCTTTGGTTAGTCTTTCAGGTTTATTCTAATGCAGACTTTCACAAGACAGCTGTTTTCAATGGCTGAGTAGTACTCATTATGACTAGTGCACTTGTTGCCCACCCTGGCCTGGTGGGTGTCATAGTGGGGTGTGTAAATCATGCAGCTGAGACCAAAAGAGACTTATTCTGCTGTTTACATAAACAACTCATTAAACAGAGCAAAAGCAAAAATACATCAGACACAGCAGATATTACATTAACTGTCACCACATTCATTGTAACTGAAATACTGTTAATTATTTTTATCATCAAAACATGTTGCGACAAAATGAAAACAAATAAACAATAGTATCTCTGCATGTCAGTCCACTAAGACAGCAAATCTCACTCATTAGCATGGGAGCGTGTCTATGTTCCCACAGCCCGATATTCCCCTTTTATACCCTTTCAGAACGCTTTGCATCCACGATCCACGGCGTCTTCACAATTATCCACCTCAGCGATCGTTTTTGTAAAGCATCGTTTTCAGTTACGGAATTCACCGTTCTAATGTGGACGGAAGGGCTAACCGGATAAATATTACCCGGGTTAGTGTGGACATGGGCTTATGGGAACATATAAGACTGTGGGAAAATAGGGCCTAATTTTCAAAACATTCTTAGAAATGTGGGAACATAGGGCTGTGGGCTGTGTTCATTCATTCCATTAGCATCACAGCTCTTAGCATTAGCTTTGTGTGTAGTGTCTGCTAGCGTAGAATGTATCATAACAGCTTCATTTTCACTACATTACAACAAATTATCTTAACATTGCACAACACACAACTTCACTGGGGCTCCACAACACTCTTATCCACCGGAATAGAGCATCAGCATCTATTTTTGAGGAATATTAATCCTCCTGTGTGTGATAATGAAGAGAACAAAAACTTTAGCTTGTGTTGCGCTCGGTGCAGGATTTACTCTGTGGCCTCTTAATGGGGTTTTAGGTTAACACCAACTATTGCCCTGTTCGGGTATTGCACCAAGAAAGCAACAAACAATACAATGAAATTGGCACTTTTAAGTCACAATCACTTAAAAAAGTATATAGGGGTGTCTCTTTTTAAACACATTAACTTATATAATGTCATATTTTAGCAATGAACTGTACCCAAAATCAACCCATTTTTCAACCCATTTTGTTACATTTCATATGCTGTATTT